AGAGCCTTGGTGCGGACGGAAGTGTCCTGGGTTTGATGCCACTCAAGGGCACGTGCCTGGGTTGCAGACTCGATCCCCACCATGGTTGGGGTGCGTGTGGGAGGCGGCCAATCAATGTGTCTCTCTCACATCGATGCTTTCAGCCATCCAGGGGTGGCCCCTCGTCGTTACTCTGGTTCGAAAGAGGGGACCCCCCCAGCTTCATGGTCATGAATAGTAATTCAGAGCTGCCGGTTTGCTCAGTGGTTAGAGCATCGGCCCGCAGACTGAAGGGTCATGGTTCAATTCCGGTCAAGGGCACATGCCTCAATTGCAGGCTTGATCGCTGGCCACGGTTGGGGTGCGTGTGGGAGGCAGCCAATCAATGTGTCTCTCTCACATCGATGCTTCTCTCTCTCTGCCTCTCCCCGTCCCTTCCACTCAATGGAAAAATATCCTTGGGTGAGGATTAACAAGAACAACACAAAGATCCAGGAAGCCTGACGATCCCGGCCTCGCAGGCTTCTCACCTGGTGCGCGCTCACCTGTATGTCATCCATGGGCTGCGAGCCGTCCTCGGCCTCCGCACTGTCCCGGTAGGGCCCCATCTCTGTGTGCGCCACCTCTCTGCTAGCCATCATCAGGACGCTCATGGGCTCCCGTGGTCGCACCTGTGCAGGTGCTGCCTCCTTTCCTACACTGGTCCCCTTCGGACTGCCCGTCACCTGCACTGTAGACACACCAATGGAAAGATCTTTGGGACTCCACCTCACTACGGGCTGGGGCTGGGCCGCAGCGGCTCGGAGTCCCGCCGGCTCCGGAGAGGGAGGGGAGGGTGCCCGGCTGCAGGCCCTCGCGCCTTCCCTGGGGCTGAGAGTCTCGGGGGCGGCCTGCTTAGAACTAGGGCTCTGCTTCCTGATCCTGGGCTGCTCCAGGCTCAGTGCAGTGGACAGCAGCTCCTCCTGCCTCGCCTGGAAGGACTCGGGGTTCAATTTATGCTTTTTGGGAGCTGGATAATCTTTGTGGCTCTCACTGCTGTAGTAATTAGAGGGTTCAGACCGAGGTCTTCTCAGCTCTGAAAAGCACAGTAGAAAGGACAGTCAGGACAGGCGATCAGACCAGGAGCCCTAACGAGCTAACGCGCCCTCTAGGCCCGGGAGACACCAGGGCGAAGCCGGGCCTCAGACACGTCCCTGCCATTTACACACCCCCCCGAAGCATCTAGTGGACTCAGATCCTCCTCCTCCATCACTGCAGTTCTTTCTTGCACGGACATAGTTTTTTTTTTTCCTACTTTCTGCATTTGGGGGGCAGGGAGCTAGGGGAGTCACACTAGGCATTCTTACAGCTAAAAAGCAACTCAGAGATAGAAACCCCCCCAAACCCATCAGTGAGCACCCTAAGGCCTCTCCTGAGGGACAGCACCTGGGGACTCGGCACGTCTGAGATGTGGTAACTCTGAGTTCTTACCCGGATTGGTACTTGCAATGACGGTGACGCCTTTGGGGATTTCTGGAGAGGCGATGGCCTCGCTGTGCCACTGGGCCATCCAGCCGTCTGCGTGGGGCTCCTCGCTCGGGGGACAGTGGATTCGGGGGCTCTGTCCCAGCGGAGCCTGCTCCCCTCTCTGTAGGTGCTCAAGACACTCGGCTAACTTCACGTGGCCCCGCGACCTGGCGATCCCCAGAGGCAGCCTCCCCAGGGAGTCGGGGATGGAGATGGCCCGCCGGTCCCACTTGTACAGCACGACGGCGGCCTCCAGGTGCCCGAGGGCGCACGCCCACATCTGAAAGACGGAGACAGAGCGGCGCTCTTAACGGCGAGTTCCAAACAGACTGCATTCGGCCGCTGCGGCCTGGTCCTCGCTGGCTCCCTCCACGGGGCCACGAAACATCATCGTCGCAAAGTAGCTCGGATAGACGTCACGTGTCCGTGAGGGACCACGCGGGGGCCCGGCCTGGAGAAGCGGCGTGGGGACCAGTGAGCGTCCTCTTACCAGGGGGGTGCAGGAGAAGTGGTCCACGTTCAAGGGGTCAACTTCCAGCTCCAGATCAATGCTGTCCGCATGCTTCGTGCTGCAAAGGGAGGGGCCAGCAGTGACCGCCCAGTGAATCCACGTGGACAGGAAACCCCTGACAGGTGCACACCCTCACAGGCACAAACCAAACGGAGCCCCACAGATGCGAAACCGAATGGAGCCTCTAACCCCTGGTGTGCAATAGACTCTGAGCTTCACAGGGCGGTTTGGAGTCTCTCCACTTGGCGAGGCCCCCAGGGGAAGGAAAAGGCCCAACGTTCAGTTGGCATCTCCCTGAGTGTTTCTTGGGCAGAAGCTCATAAAACTCCCTTGGAAACCGCCCCCAGAGAAGTCCTGGCTCACAGGCCAGACCGCACCCTGAGTGGCCAGACCTCTGTCCCCTGGTGAGCCGCGGGGGGCGGGGGG